GGCCGACTTTGACTGCATGACTACTGGGTACCCGGTTAGACCTCAGACATGCAGAGAACAAATCAGAAGTCCTGACCTGAAGTTGATCATGGCTCAACACAGCCAATGGGATCTTATAATCTCATCTCCTTCTCACCAACAGAATCAGAAAATACCCAAAGATCCCTAGAGTTGTCAATCTGTCAAGATTACGATTCTGCTGATCCGGCCAAGGTATAACCGTAAAAGTTCTTCAGTGACTTTTTAGTTTGCAAGTAGAAGCAAGAGGCACCTGCCATGCCCATCTTCCACGTAAACGGGGAGGAAGCCACCACGAGAAATGGGCACGCACTGCCCTTCCCCAGTAGCCCATTGTGGGCAGCCCTTCAACTCCACGACTCAAGGGGCTCTATCCAGATTCAAGCAGACCAGAAATCAAAGCCATATTAGGCACAGGTTACTTTTTATTCACAGGCTTACAGAATATATTGAATTAAGAGGCAAGTCATTCGTTAAGTCTATTTACCAACAAGAGCTAAATATATATTCAGCCTTAAAATTCATCCATGGTAGCTTGCATTGTATTGTAGATTGCAAAATCTGCTTTCATATACATATCAACTATTCTTATTTGGCCTAAGTTATGCATTTAAAATACATAGAAATGGTACCAAATGGCATATTGGCCAGTTTGTCCCAGGTCTTATACATTCCTGATAGTCAAAGAGATTGATAGGGAATGCATAGTTTCCTACTAGAAAAAAGGCAGATTCTGATACAAGCAATGGAATGATGTCAGGATAGGAGTGCCTCCGTGTAGATCTCAGTAGCTTTACAATATAATTCTTATTTTAAATTGCATTACGCTTGGTTCTCTTCATTAACGATTGGGATGCTGTTAAATTTGCCTGGTCTTTCCACGCTCTACTAGCTCGGTTGAGGCAAAGGAAACCATTAATACTTTTTCTTTACTTCCACTTTATTTCTACTTTCCCAAGAGAGTTTCCTCCACAGCCATCTGCCCCGCTTTTCTGCCCATTCCATTATCCCCCAAGTCTGGGCCACCTTGCTCACTGCATCAACTTCTAGATTATAGCATTCCACTCCAGAATGCTGTTTAACAGATTCTTTGACTACGGCCTAATTAAAGAATTCTCTTCCAAAACCACGAGCGAAGGCCTGATACCTCTGCAGAAGAATCAGGAAGCTGCCTAAGGACATTTCCTTTAGATGGCATGCAAATAGACTCCCCTCCTGCAGACCTTCATCTCTCTTTCATTATACCCAGGTCGGAGAAATTTCCATCGTGAGTGTTCCTGGCAGCCAAACCTCCAGCATCCCACGCTGATTTCTTGCCTAAAAATACACAGCCTCTCACTCCATGGGGAAGAAAAATGCAACACTGCCATTTCCAGCACGCTCCCCAAAGGCTGATTACGGCCCGGGAGCAATTCATCATCACTCGTGCATTGGAGGTTTTAGTTTTTCCCTCATGGAACTCTTCTTGTTTATCTTGTGGACATTGTGACAAGAACCAGATGTGTCTCAACTTTAACATCCCTCCCATAGCTATCTGGGGAAGGGGTTGGGGAGAAACGATCATGCTAGCTAAAAACCCTCCTTAGAACAGAAAATTATCTATAACTTCTGGCAGACTTTTAAGAGGGTCTTGCTTGTAAGAGCAGTTCTGTACTGTTTAATTGTTAAATGGACCGGTTGATGGAATGGTGTCTGTTCAGCACGATTTTCCCTCTGTCTATGCACATTTTGTTGCATTTTTTATTTTATCTCAAAGTGCTGCTATATTCAAAATTGGGATAAAAAGTCTTTACTGGGAGGGCATGGCAGTGTCACAGAAAGAAAATACAAAGCCTGCTGTTCAGAGGGAACGCTCTAGCTCTGCCACTCACAACTGGATAACCTTGAGCGATTGACTTAAGGTTTTCTGTGTCTATTTCCTTCTCTCTGAAATTAGAATAACGTCTGCCCTCCAATATGCCTTCAAAAACTGAAGAACTATTTATGAACAACTGAGATGAACACAAATGTACATTGAAAAATATAAAGTTTTGCCAAAATGCAGGGTGGTCTTATTATCCATTGCCTGAGAACACAGTGATACTCACACCTAAGGCTTGTTTTTAGAGTGTTCGTGAGAGATGTATTCCTGACCCCGTGGAGTTTGGGGACAAGTCCTCAATTTAAGGCTGTGTGGCTTGGCCACATGGCCATGTGGAGGGACTCGATCTGGGAGCCTAGACGCTGAGATTATAAAGAAGAAGCAAACTGAGAAGATGTGGGTAATGGGGAGGAATGGAGACGCAAAGGCAGACTCTCCTAAGGCCAGCTCCACAGGGGATGGGCCCACGCGTCTCTCTGCTTTGGGTTTCTGTTGCTGCTCTTTGGGGTTTTTTTGTTTGTTAGTCTTCCATTATTACTGGAAGAAAGCTTCTTGCAGAAATTCTTTCTTGGGGTTCTTGGGACGGAGCAGTAAAATTAACAAAGCAAAGCTTCCGCAGCCTCCCGTCAAGAACATCTATGCTGTTTCGGTAAGTTGGCCAGAACAAATACCTCCTCCCTTAGCACAGGGACTGTACATTGCAGCCTCCGATGTTGTCTGCAACTTTTAAAAAAGAAAAACTGATTGTAGCCGAGTGGGTTTCCCACCCTCTCATCCCCACACCCCTCCCCATTCCCAGTTGCTTTAGATCTTCCTTTCACTCTCCAGTTTCTCATCTGGACTTAGCAAGTCCCCCCACTCCCAGTCCCGCCCCCTTTGCTCCCTGGTTTTCCAGATTCCAGGCCACGGTTCCCAGCATGGTGAGTGCAGAGGGCGGCCCCTAACTCCGCCCTCAGAGGTAAAGGCTGGGAAGGTGGTCACTGCTGCATGGAGGCAGCACTGAGAAAAGATGCTCCTGCTGTCTCCTCTACGTTTCAACCCGGCACGAGTGCTAGGACAATCTAAATGTCTCTTACACTCCTTGCCAAGTGCGCATTTTTCCACCCAGGCTTGTTGCCTGAGGGGCTCCATGCGCCAGAAAGCATAGCTTGCCCGTCTTGACAGTCAGAGGAAAGGCAGATCAGCCTCCGATGTGAGGATCTGGGTATTTCTAGTCAATGCAAATAAACCAGGAAGGCAAAAGAACATGGAAGAAAGAGTGATTTGTGCTTAAAAATGAAAACAAACCACTTTTTTCTTGTTTGCTCCATGGTTAGTAGGAAAGTTTCAAGCAGCAGTGCTACTATGTGTGGGTGAATTAGTTCGGCTGGAAGCCCTGAGCCTGCAGTCCCACAATGTTCCCAAGAGCGCTGCTGTGACATGGCCACATCGTTCTCTAAGTGCTGTTTATTGCTTCCATCTGCACTGCTCAAAGTCTGGAAACAGCAAACACATCCATATTTGTGACAAAATATCTACCTACTCATGACTCGGCAAACAATCATTAAAAAACAGCAATACAGGGCTTCCCTCGTGGCGCAGTGGATAAGAATCCGCCTGCCAATGCAGGGGACACGGGTTCAAGCCCTGGTCCGGGAAGATCCCACATGCCACGGAGCAACTAAGCCCGTGCGCCACAACTACTGAGCCTGCGCTCTAGAGTCCACGAGCTACAACTACTGCAGCCCGTGCACCTAGAGCCCGTGCTCCACAACAAGAGAAGCCACCGCAGTGAGAAGCCCATGCACCACAACGAAGAGTAGCCCCCGCTCGCCGCAACTAGAGAAAGCCCGTGTGCACAGCAACGAAGACCCAACACAGCCAAAGATAAATAAACAAAACAAAACAAACAAACAAACAAAAAGAGCAACACAATACAAGGTGACTGTGCTACTTTCACAGCCACAAGAGAACTTGTTGGGTTTCTCTTTGAGAACCACTCTTGAAAGCACTCATTTCATATTCTCTGAAGAGAACCAGCTAACCAGGCAGACTATCTACCTGGAAACTTCCACAAAACCAGACCCCATGAGCTTCCTAAATGGGCCACACCAGAGAGGCCATCTTGTCCCCTGCGTGTGGACTGGGGTTCAGTATGTCTGGCTCCAAATCTGGTCCCTCTGGATCAACCTGAGACCCTTCCCACCCCCAGCCCCAGCCTGTACCGGATGAGCCCCTGCCAGCACGTCACCCTGTGTAAGGGCATGGGTTTCCTCTGCAAACGTGCTGGGAGAGGAAGGGGCATTGCCATCACGAATACCCGGGGTTCTGCAATTTGGTGCCACAGCACCTTCAGAAGGACTGGAGTGGCAGCAGCAATATAAGCAAGTCGACAAAGCAGGACTGTGACTTGAGTAGGCGGGTAGGCAGATGGGCAGGTAGGTAGGCTGGTATTCAGTTACTTGAAATATTAAGTTGCCCAGAGGACAAAGACATGCATCCATCACAGAATCATCCTCTAGGCAAGAAACACAAGAGAAGGAAAAGACCTACAATAACAAACCCAAAACAATTAAGAAAATGGGAATAGGAACATACATATCGATAATTACCTTAAATGTAAACGGACTAATGCTCCCACCAAAAGACACAGACTGGCTGAATAGATACAAAAACAAGACCCATATATTTGCTGTCTACAAGAGGCCCACTTCAGACCTAGAGACACATACAGACTGAAAGTGAGGGGATGGAAAAAGATATCCATGCAAATGGAAACCAAAAGAAAGCTGGAGTAGCAATTCTCATATCAGACAAAATAGACTTTAAAATAAAGACTATTAGAAGAGACAGAGAAGGACACTACATAATGATCAAGGGATCGATCCAAGAAGAAGATATAACAATTGTAAATATTTATGCACCCAACGTAGGAGCACCTCAATACATAAGGCAAATGCTAACAGCCATAAAAGGGGAAATCGACAGCAACACAATCATAGTAGGGGACTTTCACACCCCACTTTCACCAACGGACAGATCATCCAAAATGAAAATAAATAAGGAGACACAAGCTTTAAATGATACATTAAACAAGATGAACTTAATTGATATTTATAGGACATTCCATCCATCACAGAATCATCTCTAGGTTTCAAAGAACATCAAGACTTGTATAAAAAAGCCCTCTCTGACTCCACAAAGCCTTACTTCAAAAATTCTACCAAATGCTCAACAGATGAAAATACCTGTTCTACTGCTCTAAAGGACAGAATAAAAAGCACCATTCAGTCTTTGGCCTGTCTGCTGGTTACCCACAAACTCGAAGGATGGGTCCAGAGAAGCAGATGAGTCATGGAGAGCATCAAACAAGCACAATTGCTCTGGCCACCATGCGGGTCATCTCTGAACCCCAAGAAGAGGGGGAAACTTCTTTGTCTCACTCCTGGGTCCACAGCCTGTGATGGACCAATACACGTGTCAGCAGAATTTTTTTTCTGTAGCAGAGGAAGCAATGCTAAACGTTATTTTGTTAACACACCCGTGATGAACATCCATCTATATGAGCCAATGAAACAGTCAAGGCTCTGCTATTAGGGGGGATTCAGGAAACAGGGAAGGCTCAAAATAGCATTGCTGAGTGTTATCAGATTTTTAAACTAATCATCAGCAAATCTTTTCAGCTGACTTTGGTTTTGAGAGTTCTTACCCACTAGATTGCTAAAATGGAACGAGAAGGGCCCATAGTGTGTTTGGTCTTTTTTTGTTTTTATTTCATTATAAGAGCTGTCCCATCTTATCCAATTTTCTCCTTCCTCATTAAAAAGAAAAAAAGGCGCATTGTTTCCTTAGATGGTAAGACTTAACGTTGTACTGTTTTCTCAGTAATTACAGGCTTTCAGATGTGTTTTTAAGTGGGAGAATGGACATGTCATGCAGTTAGCCAATAAATGCAATCCCTGATTAAAATATGAGTTCTAAAAGTTTGACAACTTCTAACTATTTCCCCAGTGCATTTGTAATTTCAGACCTGTGAACCTGGATTCTTTTTTCCCCTTGGTCCTCTCCTGTGACAGCTAAAGCTACACGTCTTTTAAGTTCACCAATCACACCTTCACAAACTTAAGTCAACAACTATGTGTTCAAAAATCTTTGTTTTCCCTTTGAAACTGGATGCAAAAAAGAAATCTCTCCTGTCAGTGGAGACGGCTGTGAAGGAACGAGGCGCCTGCACATATATCTCCTTAAATTTTTTGAAGAGCTGCTTCTCTTTATCCCACTGGTATATCTGGGAGAACGTATAGTCACTCCCCAGGGCCAGGTAGTGATTCTCTTTAAAAGAAAAGGGCTGCAGGGTCATGGCCCCCCGGGATGGGAGAGCCTGAACCTCCACAAACTGCTTACTATTCCACCTCATGACCCTCGAGTCCCCGATGAAGCGGGTGAGGGAAAGGTAGAGGGCGTTCTGCATCCTGAAGCTCTTCACGGCCAGCACATCCTCCATGTTGGGGATGTCGCTGTGGGGGACAAACTTCTTAGAGCTTTTATTCCACTGGAGGATGATGGGGACCTGGGAGCGGCTGGAGAGGATCAGGTGTGATTTGCCGTCTATTTCAACAAACTCGGCATCCGTGTCCCTGAACCACTCGTGCAGAGACTGGTACGAGTAGAATCCTTTGCTGTTCCATTTATACACGGTTGACAGACCGGCTTTGGAGCTGTCTGCGATGACAAAGAACGTCTCGTCCTCGATCTGAAACAGCTCGATGTCGTTGGGCTTGGAAATGCGAGAGACTTCTATGTCCTGGAATTTGACAAACTTGGTCCAGCTCTCGTCGTATCTGTAAATGTGGGAGCCGCCGAAGAGCTGGGCCACCACCACAAAGACCTGGTCGTCGATGAGGATGGCCTTACAGCCCACGATGGACTGACCTGCGTTCCAGAAGAGGGAAGATGGGGTTAGGGCAGCCACCGTGAGAAACACTCGTCCAGAGTCAGAGAAAGACAAATATTATATGATACCACTTATATGTGGAATCTAAAAATAAAACAAGTGAACTTATTTATAAAACAGAAACAGACTTACAGACATAGAAAGTAAACTTATGGTTACCAAAGGGGAAAGGGGGTGGATAAATCAGGAGTATGGGGTTAACAGATACACACTACCACATATAAAACAGATAAACAACAAGGACCTACTGCATGGCACAGGGAACTATATCCAATACCTTGTAATAATCTATAATGGAAAATAATCTGAAATATATATACACACACACACACACATATATATATATAACAGAATCACTTTGCTGTACACCTGAGACTAACACAATATTGTAAATCAACTATAGTTCATTTTTTTTGAAAAAAGAAATAACAAAGAACAATGAACAGAGTAAATATTTATTTATGTAAATCTAAACTATATATAACAAAAATTTCTTTAGGTAAATTAACTGTATTGAATAATAATATATTAAACAATTAAGAATATTTTTGCGTTTAATCAAGAGAATGAAAAGGATAAATCTTTATGTAAATCTAATTGGTACAAAACAATAATAAAATCTTTAGGTAAATAAAAAAAAAATGCCCGTCCACAGTGAAACTGGAAGCCTTATGAACTGCTGGTGAGAAATATAACATGTTCAGCCACTGTGGAAAACAGTATGGCGATTCATCAGAAAATTTAACAAAGAATTCCCATATGATCCAGCAATTCCACTTCTGGGTCTGTACCCAAAGAATGGAAAGCAGGGTTTTGAAGAGATATGTGTACGCCGTGTTCATAGCAGCATTATTCACAATAACCAAAAGGTGGAAACAACCCAAGTGTCCACTGATGGATGAATGGATAAACAAAATGTGGTTTATACACACAATGGATTATTGTTACACCTTAAAAAGGAAGGAAATTCCGACACATGCTGTGTCATGGATGAATGTTGAAGACATTATGTTAAGTGATATAAACAGTCACAAAAAGACACATAGCATATGATTCTACTCATATGAGGTACCTAGAGGTGTCAGATTCATAGAGATAGAAAGCAGAAGGGTGGTTGCCAGGGTCTGAGAGGAGGGGAGAATGGGGAATTACAGTTTAATGGGTACCGAGTTTCAGTTTTTCAAGATGAAGAGTTCTGGGGATTGATGCATTTATTGAACCACCCACAAACACAGTTAAGACGGTAAATGTTATGTTATGTATATTTCCCCACAATTAAAACAAATAGTTTTAAAAGTACCTCCATCGAAATAGGTAAGTGTTGGTAACCTAGGCCTCTGGCATCTTTGGAGGCAGGTGTATAATTCAGGAAATTCACTAAGACACCAAGCAAATTGTCTGCATGCTATTCCCGACTCCACAGGGGAGAATGAGGCATTTAAACGGGTTTCTTCTCTTGGGGGGTAAAAAGCTAGGAGTCAGGACTTAGAGGCAGGAAAAAAAAAAAATGTAATGAGAGCTCTTGAGGACGTTTGACCTTTTCTGATTTCTGAAGCTGAGCGGAGGCAGAACAGACCAGTGTTAAACCTTGTGACTCTAGACCACACGGCCCAGCACCTCATAAGCTTTCTGACCCTGTGGCAGTTCCCTCAACTCCCTGTGCTCAGGCTCCTCCCCTACCAGATGAGACTAAGGATGCTGCCAGCCCTGACCTTACACAGCCGCTGTAAAGACTACCTGAGAAAGTTCACGGTCAGGGTTTTTAGTACAGAGCTTGCACACACAGGAAGTGATCAATAACTAGTTGCTCTCATTATTGGATCATTGAGGCAATTGAGATCACAAGCCATGATCTGAATGATCTAGCTCAGGCGGCACCAAACCAGAACTTTGCAGGAAAAGGGGAACATTTTCAGTCGTGACTGCCCTGTCTGGGTCACCTCCCATCACCTTCTCCCTATCTGCACCCAGACACCCCACCCACACCGTTCCAGCCAGACAGCAATAAGACCACCCACATCTCAAAGAGTATTATTGGCCCGTCATCTAGGTCATTCAATTAAAAGTTATTTCTTTCCCCTAATTTTCTAGGCAGTTTGGACCAAAGTGAATTTGGTCTGTAAATTACAAGGATAATTACCCAATTTCTGTCCTCAGTATTAACATTGGGGGCAGACGGTTGGTGGATTTTAGGGTGGTATTTACTTTTCTCTTCCACTGCTTTAGCTTTCCTGCAAGAATCTGGTCCCTTTCCTTTGTTTAAAACTAATTATTGCATTTTTTCTGAGTATAAAGGTTTTTAATGTTCATCAAAGCAAATTCTGAAAATAATAATAGGTAACACATAAAGGCACTATACTAAGCACTTTACATGCTTATTATATACTTAGCATACACTTAATTTTGTACCCTGTCTTATAAAGGCACAGAGAAGTTAAGTAACTTATACAAGGTCACACAGCTACAATGTGATGGAGCCTGGGATCCAAATCCAGGTAGTCTGGCTCCAGTCTACACTCCACCACCAATGTACCAAAAAGTACAAAGAAGAAAATCAAAATCACTTGAACTGCAAATGCTGAAATAACACTTAATATCTTGATATATTTCTTTAATTGCCAATCTCTGCACATATCCAAATGTGCCTTTTAAAAATAGATCTGGGCTTTTAGTGTACATGGATTTTTTATAACCTGCTTTTTTCCCTTGACCACTATGTTGTGAACATTTTCCCATGTTATTGCGTCTTCTACAACTTGATTTTTTAACACTACATGGTATTCCATTGCATGGAGGCACCATATTTTATTTAATCCCCTACTGCTGGACATTGCACTTATTTCCAGTTTTTCATTATTGTAAGTAATAGGCTTCCCTATAGAGAAATCTGTGTTTGAAAACCATCTGGCAGTGCTCTTAAATGGAGAGATTGCGGGGTAGACATTGTGCACATTGTTAAGGCTTCTGGGTTTCAACTACCAAACTGCTCCTCAGAAACTGCACTGACTCCCCCCTGACAGCACTAACTGAGGTGCATGCTCCTCCTGAGTCCCTGGCTACGGAGGTCCCTTCTACCCAGAAGCATCCTGCAGCTATCCTGGTCTCAGCCGAGGGGCCGTGTGAGAAAGAATTCCTTTCTTGGAGATGCTCCCTAAAGCGTCCTCTTTCCAGGTGTAGCCTGTGGAGTTGTAGCTTATGGAGGTGTCAGCAGCAATCCTCGTGTGTGTGTGTGTGTGTGTGTGTGTGTGTGTGTGTGAATATGTGTTTTAATCTAGGAGGAGAGATGCTGCAACATACTTAGTGCGCAGAAATCAAAAGGCAAACAAAATTAACCCAAAGCAGGAGAGCTGAGAAGAGATGTAGAGAGAAAAAGGAGCAAAACCTGGCGGTGGCGGGGGGCGGCTCATGACCCTGGGTCTCCCTCTCTCACTAGAGGATGGATGTCCCTTTTGCACAATGCCCAGCAGGGCCACAGAGGGGGAAGCATGTGTCCCGCCCATTCCTCGGAGCCCCAGACTTGCCGGCCATGGATGGAGAAAATCCTGCCCAGCTCTTGCTGACTCTGGGATCACCCTGGGATCAAACGAGATGATAAATGAGGCACGCACAGCCCCACGAGGAGAGAACGGTCCACGTTTACCTTGGTCTTGTTCGAGGCAAGTGGTTCTGGGGCTGTGCCCTTGCTCATCCATTTGTCATCTGCCCAGCCCATGTGAGCTGCAGGGCCTTCCTTCACACCAGGCTGAATTCCAGCAAGCCACACTCTTTCCTCCACAGAGCGAGCAAGGCCCCTACTTCTGTAACCACCCTCTTTCCCAGCCTCCCTCAGGCCATGCTCTGCTGGCCCTGGCACTCCTATGCTTTTGAAAGTTGTGGAGACAATTTTATTGAAGTCAAAGAATTAGGGTCTATGGGAGAAGGAGGGCTGCTCCTATTTTTTTTTTTCACTATAAAATAGAGACAATAAGTACACATTGTGAGGTTGTGTAGCTGACGAAAGAAACAGCTTATAAATCACTGAGTATGTAAATGTGAGTTGCCTTCCTCTAAGTGAAAAATTATGTGATGAGATTTGTGTTTAATGGAAATTCATGCAATAAGGGAGCAGAGAAGGCAGACTTCATTCCAATCCGGTCATCAAGAAATGCTTCCTGTAGGAGGCTGCATTTGAGCCTGGAAACCCAGGTGAAGGGAGAAACAAAAGAGAGGTGGTTGAATTGTAAGATGTGATCAGAAATCAATGTGACAGGAATTTGGCAATATGTATTCGGAAATGTGTGTTGGGACCCTGATGTATGAAATCTGTGTGCTTTCATGAATTAAGAAGAGTAAGAGATCCAAACCTGGTGGATTTGCCTAGCGGTGGTAGCAAGGAATAATAATCAAATATCTATTTTTTATCCGCAACTGATATCCCAACACTTGTTGAGAACTTACTATATGCCAGGCCCCATGCTAAGTGTTATATAAGCTACCCAGTTAAATTCCCATGGGCCCAATACTATGATGATACCATTTTACAGATGGAATTCCCACTTTGCAGATGAAAGGGGCTCATGGAAATTAAAACTTGGCCAAGGTCACCAGCTAGAAAGATCTAGAGACAGATTTATGAAAAACCAGTGTGACGTTGGAGTTCATAAACTTAACGAACACAATTTTGTAGCTCACTTCTTGCGCTTGGCTGTGAAGAGGATCCCAGTGGGCTGCATGTCCAGCTGCCCACCTCTCAGAAGATTCAGACTTCAACACTCAGAGGCCAAGGGATCCCTGGAAACCAGTAAGCTCCAGCCCTGGCTCTGGCCACACACACTCTGCTCTCACTGACCACTTCCTACCCGCAGCTCTGCGGCCTCTGCTGGGTCCAGGCCATTAGCACTTGCCTGAATCCTTGCAATAGCCTCTCAACTACTTGCTCTGATTCCACTTTGGTCCCCTCCCCACACACGGACTACTCTCAGCCCAGCAGCTGGACACAACCCAGCATTCTGTAGCAGGCACCTGCATCTTCTATGCAGCCTGGCTGACCTCTGCACAAAGGCAAAAGTCCAAGTCCTTCGTAGGACCTGCAAGGCCCCCACGATCAGCCCTCTTACCTCTCTGACTTCGTCTCCTACAACTGCCCCTGGATCATTCTGTCCAAGCCAAACCAGCCACCTGCCTGTTCATCCAACAGGAAAAATACCCTCCTGCCTCTGGACTGCTGCACTCACTCTTCCCTGTCTGGAATGTTCTCCCCGCTGTTCCCACCCTCCATGTGCATCAAGCCCTCATGTCCCACAAGTTTTATTCAAACACCTTCTTAATGAGGCTCTACCAGACACTCTATCTAAAATTTCAGTCCTCTCACGCCAACACTTCAAATCTTTCCTCCCTGCCACCTTTTCCCTTCTTAGCATGCTGCCATCTAATGTGTTGTACGTATTACAATTATTTGTCTTATTTGATTGTCTCTCTCTCTCCCATTATAACACAGCCTCCTTGAGGGTGGAGGTTTTCTTGTGACTTGTTCAATGCTACGGCCCCAGCACCTAGACTGGGCCTGGCTCAGAGGAAGCACTCAAGAAATCTTTGGGAACAAGTGAAAAAAAATGAATGAATGACTTGATGAACCTAGGGGTGTGACCAGCTGCTGTATGTAGGAAGGGCAGGTGGAGGGCAATGCTGTCCCCTCCTACCAAGGTCAACCTGGGAGAAGGAAAGGGTGGGATGCAGCAGTGACAGGTTCCGGGCTCTGCCTTGGAAGTAACAGTGGAGTAATTCAACATGCCTGAGCCTACATCTCTTCTTTCGGAAAGGTAAGGAGGAAGCCAGCATTAAGAACTGCCTGCTTGGGACTTCCCTGGTGGTGCAGTGGTTAAGAATCTGCTTGCCAATGCAGGAGACATGGGTTCGAGCCCTGGTCTGGGAAGATCCCACATGCCACAGAGCAATTAAACCCATGTGCCAAAACTACTGAGCCTGTTCTCTAGAACCCGTGCTCCGCAACAAGAGAAGCCACCGCAATGAGAAGCCCACGCACAGCAACAAAGAGTAGCCCCAGCTCTCCGCAACTAGAGAATGCCCACGCGCAGCAATGAAGACTGAACGCAGCCTAAAATAAATAAATTTAAAAAAAAAAAAAAAAAGAGAAAGAGGAAACACTTAAAAAAAAAAAAAAAAGAACTGCCTTCTCTGTGCCTGGCACTCACCCAATTCTCACAACATCCATGGGAGGTACATCTCCTGCCCATTTCACTGATGAGAAAACAGAGGCTCAAAGGCCACAACTACTTCCTAGCACATGGCAGAGTCAGGAGTAGAATCCATGTTCGTAGGTTTTCAAAACCTGAGCTCTTTATAGTTCATATGCCTCCTCTCTCTTGAAGAGAGGTCACTTGTCCTCTACCTACGGGCAGGGAACCTGCAATAACACCTCAAACAGCTGTTATGAGCCCCAACGAGACTAACCCGAACCTGGCCCTCTGCAAGCCCACAACCAGCACCGGCAACAAGCACTGGCCTCAGAACTCCCTGCACGAGAGCACGGCTTCACTCTGCTCCCACCTCCTCGTGTGACAGGGAGGAGAGAAGGCAGAGGGGCCTGCTCATTAAGCCCTCACCGACCTTCCAGGTCAGAGAAAAGATGGAAGCAAAAAACCATGCGGGTGGTGAGTTCCTCTCTCGCCTCGTTTCCTCTAACATGGACCGGCTTTAGGGTCCTGAGGCCTGGGCTCCCCTCCATAGGCTCACCTGCACTGCTCTGTGCTGAGTCTGTGCTCGGAGCGAGCGGGGCTGCTCCCAGGAATGTGGGCTTAGCACTGGGAGGCCAGATGGCATGTCGGAGCGTCAGGATCTACGTCTCATAGACCTCTCCGGGCTGCCAGATCAGTCTCATTAGCAGCTCTGCTCCCTGAGGGTGAACGATGCTCTCCCTGCATCCCTGCACCTGCTGCAAGGCCAGAACCTCCGTATCTGGAAATGCTACCTGGATACGCTTCTCTCCGCCCCAGCCAGACGCTGCTCGAACCAGAGAAGGAATCACTGAAGGAAACCCTCACATGGGGCAAGAGTTAGGCCACGTGGTGCTGTCTGTAGAGTCAGTATTAGTATCAGATTGCACTTTGATAAATGAGAAGTCTTTGAAAGATTATTTTGACTTTATCCACTGATTTAAAAAGCAAGTAGACAGTCCATTTTCAGTAGCGCTAAGACACTGGGATTCAATCATGGCCCCAAACGAAGCTCTAAGTCTTATCCCAAAGGCTTGAATTAGGAAGCCATTTATGCTTATTTTGTATGTACTTATTAAAAGGAAGTCGTGATCACCAGAACTTCGCAAGGGGGCGATAGAAACAGCTACAGTGTGTGTGTGTTCGTGAGTGTGTGCATACGTGTACGTGAGCACGTGTGTGTGTGCGTGTGCATTAGCATATTCGTTAAGAGCTTACAAAAGTCAAAAGATTCATTTAGCTGCTAAAACGCTCCTGCAGGCTGAGGCTGGCATAACTGCTCAAATCGAGGGATTCTGGGAGTGACTTCTCACCATTTCAGGAAAATGCTTCCCACCACAGGCCCCCATCACCCTCTCCCTTTACAAAAGGATCACCAACAATAAACAGAATCACCACCTAAGGTTTCTGCTCTCACCAATAACTGACCACGTCCAGAAAAAGGTAGAGGGAAGAGGGTGGGCTGGAATGCGTTCCCAAATTAAACCAAGCCCGAGAGCCAAGCTCCCTCTCGGGATAACAGAGAACATTTCTCCTCTCCCGGGCCTCAGGCCACGCTGAAATGAGGGCAGTACATCCAGTCAAAGCCATAACACACCTGTAATATTGTCATAGCTCCGGAAATTCATTTCGATGTGGTCCCACTCCAGCACCATGCAGTTCTCCATGCTGGGCTGAGCGATGGCCACGTACACATCATTCTTGGAGTTGAACGTATCCACTGAAACCGACTGGTAGGGCAGAGTCTGATGAACAACAAAATCTGGGAAGGGGTGTTTAAAAAAAAAGTCTCCGTGAGCTCTCCTGTGGGCATTATGGACCGCCATTCCCCTTCTATCCTTTCTCTCATCAGTTCCAAAGAGGACGGGGGAGGGGGGAGGGCAGGAGAGAAGCAACACACATCATGGCATGTTTCACTCTGGATGAGTCCAGAGAGTTCTGGCTTGTGCAGAAATAGCAGACTGAACGCACAGCTTCTAATACAGCTTCCTTGAGATAAATAGCTCATGAGTCTGGCTAGAGGATCTCAAAGTTTTAAACAAATTTGGTGAGACCTGGCTTTCAGAAAGACGGGACAGAAAGGATACTGCAGGGCAACATTCCTGAAACTATGGTGAAATTTACTCTATGAAGAAGGGCTGCTGTGGTCAAATTCCTTTGGGGAATGCTGTTCTTTTTAGCTCTCTCAGAATAGTCCAGGTAGTAAAGACAACTAAAAGTAGATTCCCCAAAGGGCACACTGCAGTTTTGGAAACCAAACCAAACACTTTGACGAGGTCTTGGAGGTTGATAAAGCCCACTGTGCGGGGAAGTTAACCTAGGTGTGTTTACTGGATTGGTAGCAGTGCTAAGTACGGCTGTGCCTGGGATCTGGGTACTGCTCTGCAGCTCAGGGAGCAGTTACAGGAGATCTATTCGATTTTCCAGCAATATAGACGCCATCCTATTTAAGCACGCATTCTGCTCTTACACTTAGTGGCAAGTCAATACCCATCATCTGTGTCGCTCCCTGAGCTACAATGACTCACTCTGTGAAATCTTGGTACGGAATGTACAGTCTTACCAAGAAACAGGGTTAGCATGCCCTCGGATGCAAGAACGGTTAGTGTGTGCAGTAGCTAGAGAAACAATGAAGAAAGAAGTTTTTTTTAAAAAACAAAATACTAATAAAGTTTAAGTTATTTCTTTGGCCAGAGATCTTTCAGGGTGCACTGCTTCTTAGCAGGCTAAAAGTGCCCAGGGTAAACTGAGGGTGGACGTCTGGCTTAGGAAAGTAGTTCCTATGAGAAAATCCTGGCTTTGCCCACCTCTTCCCCCACCTAATCCTTATCCATGCCCACTGAAGTCCCATCTCCTCTTGCAAAGCTGCCCTGACCAGTCCAATCAGGGACCCTTCCTAACTTGCTGGACTCATAACCAGGCAATGTTGTTTACATATTATTATTTACTAGGATTTAGTCTCCAACATAGAGACATCAGGGTCTGATTTGAAGAAATGGGAGAGATCTTAGAGCCAGAAGCTGAAGCTCAGAGAGGGTGTATGCCCGGCCATGGACACACAGCCAGCGTGGTGTGTCTGCTGAACCAAGGGCTTCCTAAGGAAGGTCCTACACTTCTCAGAGCTCCAATGACACAAGCCCACAGCAGCCACTCAAGAAATGATTGACTCAGAAGCCTCATGAAAGATGTCAACTGAGGGCTTCCCTGGTGGCGCAGTGGTTGAGAGTCCGCCTGCCGATGCAGGGGACGCGGGTTCGTGCCCCGGTCCGGGAAGATCCCACATGCCGTGGAGCGGCTGGGCCCGTGAGCCATGGCTGCTGAGCCTGCGTGTCCGGAGCCTGTGCTCTGCAACGGGAGAGGCCACAACAGCGAGAGGCCCGCGTACCGCAAAAAAAAAAAAAGAGAAAAAAGTCAACTGAGAAAGGCATTAAAAGGGCAGGTACCAGGTAGTGAGTACGGAAGGCCCGTGCAAAAGGACTAGAGGCAGGTAAGGGGGCAGAGCAGCTGAGCGAGTGTTAAGGTGGGAAGCGTGGAGCCGGGGCCGGAAGAGCAGGTGCCTGTCAGTGGGCAGAAGGTAAAGCTGAGGAGTAAGGGCGGCGTGAGGCACTGGAAAGAGCGCTGTGCCTGGAGTCAGACCACCTGAAACCACTCCCTGTGTTTGAATCCCTGGGCTGCGTGCGCACCTCCCCTTACAAGGCCTCGGTTTACTCATCTGCAGTATGGGGGCAACGATCCAGGCTCGATGGCAGGAACAGACTAGGTAATGTGGTGGACATGCCAACCTCAGGCTCAGCACACGGTAGGCGACTGATAAATATGGAATTGAGATCCAAGCAAGGACAGTCCCGCTCCACTGTCCTGGTCACCACTGGGCCATCTCTTGGGGACAGTGTTCATTTTAACGGCATCTAAGATAAAATGCCGGAGCGCTGACTCTGCCTTTTTGCTGAGTGACCTTAGGGAAGTTACCCAACCTCTCTCTGCCTCAGTTTCTTCATCGTCTGTTGAATCCATACTCACGTAGAACAGTGCTTTGCACAAGGTGCGTGCTCAATACACGCTACCTTTTGGAGGGGCCCCTCTCGTTCTCAGTGGACAGGAGCTGCTGAGTAAATGCTTGCTGGCTTGGCGAGTGTGGGAGGGCCGGCCTCGCCCCTGACCGTGGTGGGAGAGGACGGGGCTGAATGAAGGACGTTTGCAGGTACAGGGAGAAGAGGGAGAAGCAAAGAGGAGGCTGCCTCTGCACCCGACAGCAAGAGGTGGCCGAGGGACAGTGGGGACAGTCGGCAAGAGTGGAGGAGGTACCCCCCCTTCTGGAACATTCGGAAGAGCTGGGGCAGGTGAGACAGACTGGTTTCTACCCCGCCTGCACTTGCAGCTCCAGGAGCTCGGGCAAGAGCCTCAGGTTCCCCAGGAGTAAAATGAGGGCAACGTCTATTTCACAAGGTTGCTGTAGAGGCCGAATAGGAGAGTGAGGATTAAGTGTTAGCGCCCAGCCTGGGCTGCGGTGATCCCTCAGGAGTTCTACACGCGTAACAGTGACAGTGTGAAGCTGCCTGCGTGAAGACTTAGGGGAGAGTCACCATGGATCCTAGTTCCCCCTCCTCTACCAAGTCCCCCAAAACACCAGCGTTGCTTGGTCAAAGACTAAAACCTGAAAAACCCCTGGTTCGTTCCTGTGGGCCCTGGTGGCCCCAGGATAGAAGTCGGAAAACGCTGCAAAAGGCTTCCGTGTTCACAGGCTGGTAAATGGGAAAAGGAAAATGGAAGCAGTCACGGTCTGCTTTCTTTCCTGGAGGTAGAAGAGGACTCAGAGAATACAGCTGCGTTCTTCTAATTACCACCAAGACGTCTATAACCTCCTCCAGCATCTCCGGTTGCCTTGCCTCATCCCAGTCTGCCCAAGGTTCCCAACACTCCTGATGCTTTATAACCCCCTCTGCTTGCGTTCAGAGCTTCCTGACTACACTCTGAATTCTCAGAAACACGAGCACTTGTGAGCTTAAAAATGCAGGCCGTTTAAAGTGCAGACCCAAAAGTTTCAGTTTTTTATTTTAAAAAAATTCCAGAATTTTAATTTTATTTTTAAAAAAATATAGAGAGCATTTTACAAATCTAGCCTTTCATGGTTCTATTTTCATTGATTTCCCCCAAACATTGGTTTCATAATATTTTCTATAGACTGGCTATCTGGCACAGCACAGACTGTTAAATCATTCGAGCTATAAATCTAATTCTTAATAGGACACTCCTTCTCCCCCTTCGCCGCTCCTGTCCAAAAAAAAAGGAGGAGAAGAGAAAGAAGGAAGAAGGGAAAAAACCGGTGAAACAATACGATTGATGAATGTGTGTTTGTGTGAATGGGGGAGAGGACTCGGGGAATTTAAACATCTTCCCCATCACCATCGTAAGTTATTTCTCACAAACGGCAAAAGCACATTCATTGTGGAAAGATCTCAAACAATCCACATGCTGATATGACATCAATTTACTGGTGTTAAAGTATTAATGGCCTTCTCTGCAAAAAGCACTTCCACTTCCATTCACATTGGATTAAGTTCATGATGTCAGTGGGACTCTTACAATTTAGGCCTTGCTCCCACTGGAATCAACAGATTTTTACATACCTATTTATAGCACTTGCAGAAAATAAATTATACATGATGCTGATCCTATTGGGAGAGAAACTGCACATTAATGCATTATTTCTCTCTGCATTTTCATCAGCCCTGAAATAGGGAAACTAACGGGACAATTAGGATGCAAAATTCACACCCTCTGAGGAATTTAGTGAATTATCCACCTAACATGGGGAATTATGAGTAGGAAACAGGGATTTTTGAGGTGGTTAAAAATAGACTTGAAGCAGAGGGTTATGGAGGGACTGATGAAGCTGCAGAGCTGAAACCGGCCAGGGGTGGCTTTGTGGTGTTAATTACACCCCTGTGCTGAGGAACAGGATGGTAATGTACCCTCCTCTCCCTGGGAAGAACAAGGTGAGACATCTGCCGGAAGAATTTACTCCTTTGCTAAAACCCCGAGCTAAGAGGAAAACAGTGCACTCAGAAAATGTGCTTCTTCCCCAAACTCGAGTGAGGATGTGGTCATGGTACCATGAGTCTTAGACTTGGCTTTCCAACTTCCATCCATCCTCACCTATCTCCTCCCTGGCCTTAAATAGAGCACCAGCGTGTGAGGCTTGATCTGAGCCAGAAGATAGGAACCCCCAAAACTCATACTTTATCGACCTAGTTCTTACAAGGCAGGGACTATATTTGGGGGGAGGGGGTCACAACTTGGCACGATTTTTTTGTGATGGAAGACACCGTGGGTGAGAGCTCATCTGTTCGTGAGCCTTAAAGGGATAAAACAAGAGCAAAGACAGAATCATCTTCTCCCTGTTTCCAGGCGGGGGTGGGGGGGGCAGACTTCCTAAATTTTAGCAAAAAGCTTGTTAGCAAAGATAAATATGTATAAGAGAATGCCCCCAAATGTGTTAAGGGACTCATGCTGCCCCAGAGATTCTGGGTTTAGGACAGATTCCTAGTTTCCAAGGCCCTCTATAGTCCAAGCCATTTCTCTCTGAGATTGGCAACGGTGTCACACACTAGGGCCGGGAGTGATGAGAACAATGGAAAAGCTGCTCACTTCAGCATGGGGTTTAGAGAACTCTCCAGAAAAATGAGAAGAGGCAGAGAGGCACCCCAGCGAGCTGGGGTTTCACATTTCATACGGCACGGCCTTGAATGCCACCTTTTGGTGCAAACGTCACTGACTGTGACCTCTGATAGACTGCACTGCTCTACAATACAATAAATAACCCCCCAGTGGCCTCAGCTGGCTAAAGGGCACCTGCCAATTACACAGCTGAATAAGTCCCTGTTCAGTGATGAAAGACAAGGGCATTTCCATAAGACTTCAGGTTTCCTCTCAGCAAAGAACAGAACTTGTCAGGTCCCTTATTTACAAAGATATCTAGAAGTAATTTTTACTTTTGAGTTTGTTTATTAGATCGGGGGATAGCAGTAGGACTAGCCTAAATGTGATATTTTGTTCTTAGAGTTTTTTTGTCTTTTGAGTTTCCATAACTATTCTCTGAGTTCTCTTTTCTGCTGCTCCTACTGACATGACTTGAGGCTTTGTAGATACCAACTTTCAGCCTAAGTGTTTATTTTTATAAGTCCGGTAAGCAGGTTTCAGACTGTGGACTGATCCACTCTCCTTTAAAATCTGGCTTTTAGAAGCTATAGAAACTCCATCTAAGCCTTTCATATGGAGATATTCTTGGGCTCTCTACAAGATATGACAGTTGAGGCAGTTAGTATTTTAGTTTTATCTTATAACCTGAAAACATATAAACTGAAACCCTGAGGCAGACTCAGGAAAACAAAATCAAACTTTCTTGACATTTTTTTCCTCAATGTGAATTTTTCCTTTTGATAACTACTTGTTAACTTATATTCCTACTTTGCCATTGATTAAGATGCCTAGCTATCTCATTTTACATGGAACTACAAAAGCAATTTTAAAGTCTGGTATTTATTAGTTAAATGTCCTATAAATTTCATAGTATTCAATCAAGAGAACAGTGACTTAGGTCTCTCTGTACTGTCTTTATATGAAACCTAGACTGCTTTGAAAATGTTCTCATGCCAAACTCACCTTTGAGCTTAAAAACAAAAAATCTTTAGACAAATTTGAATTTTGTAAAGAATCAAAAAGAATCAAAAGTAAAGCCAGTGCAGTTAACAAAAATCCTTCCAAACTGTTGAGATATTTTCCTTGCCACATCAAATCATTTCTTTGAGAATGCTTAAATTTCCCCTAAAATAATTTTGATAGAAAACTTTTACCCCCATGTTTCCCCACTCCCTGTTGACAGTCTAAAAGAAAAACAAAGGGTTATTCTAAATATCAGACTTGGATGATAGAGGTTCTGAATACCTGTAGTTGTGCATTCGTAGTCAAAGCTGGTCACGTCATTCAGCTTCTTTTCCTGATATTCTGGTGGACCGATACACAGGACATCAGAAACAGTGGAATTTGTCATCTTCAACCACAGATACAACCACTTGGCTTTGCAGTCACATTCAAACTTATTGCCCCTTAAATCTCTAAAAAACAAAACAAACACAGACACAGAGAAACAGACATGTCGGAAATATTTTGGCCCTAACATGAAACTCCAGAAATCCTGATATCCTGACATATTTAATAACTCCCCCAAATGGAATTTTTAAAAAATTTTGTATTTAATACATCCGATGTCTTTTACGTACCACTGACTTTATTTAACACTCTTCAGTGCCCATGATTTTAACCGTATAGCACGCAGCGAGTGCTCAGAGTTGACACAGCACCATTTTTCCAGATCCTCTTGAAACTGTCACCACGCCATGGTGGAAATGGGGGAGAGGTGACAGAAGAACACCACCCAGCACAGGTTCTCACAAGCAAAAACAGGACATTACAGGAAGATAGTTTTGACAAACACAATTGAAACTTTAAGATCTTGTTAAACTTTGCCCAGCAAGGAGTGACAAGCACTAGGAGACAACGCAGATGGATACGCTACTGCTCTCTGGGAGAAAGGAAGCCCCCGGACCCAGCACGCCAAATTACCATTGGCCTAATGCTACTAAGTATACGGCAAGCTAACACAATACAAACTATATGCCGTTTCCCAGTATTTGCTACTTTGTCATAGATTTTTAGGTACAACATTAAAAAAATGCAGTATAGGGGGAGAGGGGATTTCAAGACAAGCAACATCAACTTAATTTTCATTACTTACAGTTCAATCAGAGAGTCTAAATCACTGAAGACATCCCTCGGGAGTGCTTTTATGTGATTATTGGCCAAAGAACTAGAACAAAAAAGTCACATTTTAATGTGGTTATTATCTTCATGTCCTATCCCTCTAAAGTCCCTTAAATAAAGCAAGTGACTTAAAACAGAGTTCTAAACCTCTTTAGCAAAAGGTAGTTCAATTTCTGGCTTTGGTCATTGATACTGAGATAAAGAAATGAGTTTAGTTATACAAAGATAACATTATAGATGCTGAAGCATACAATGTCCGTTGTTTGTTTTGTTTTTAAAACAAGCATTGATTAAGCTCTTGATACACGTTAATCATCCTCAGATGGCATCTCACGTTTCGCAGAATAAAAGTCAAAGTCCCTTTGATGGCACCCAAGGCCCTCCATTGTCTAGTTACCTCCGTTCCCACTTACCTGTGGGACTGAGTCTCTGAGGATTCAGATCACCCACACCGGCTCCTTTGCTATTGCTCACACAGGCTAGTCACACTCCCAGCTCAAGTTCTCTGAACTCGGTGTTCATCTGCCTGACGCTCTCGCCCTAGGTGTGGTTCATCCATCGCCTCCTTTAGGTGTGTCCTCCACTTTCACCACCTTCCCTGATCTCTACACAACTCCCTTCCATGCCCTGTTGATCTCCACTGCACTACTGTCACTTAGCATACAATATATATTAATTATCCATCTATTTGTTTACTGACTCTGCATTCTCCCTATACATAAGCAACACGAGGACAGAGATTTTTGTCTGTCCATATCTGTATCCCTTTCATCTAGAACAGTGCCTGGCACATAGTGGGTACTCAGTAAAGTCTTTCTGAATGGATGACTTAAGCACTAAAATGAGAATGATAAAAAGATAGATGTACAGTCTTATCCTAAGAAGTTCCCTCATGGGGCATCTAAGTGAATTTTATTACTTGTGACTATTAAAAAATAGTATCTACTTTACGTAAATATTCTTTTACATAAAGAATCTCAGCTCTAACACTAATGATAATAGAAAATCTCAGTGAACCACAATGTTTAGGGAATGACTGATTGTGATCAATTTCATTTTCTCATTAATTAAGGTTGACCAGAAACCATATTTTGTATTTTTGCTCTTAGTGTTGGAGATCTTTCTAACATGTCTTAATCTACCCCCCATCTCCAGGAAGCAGACTTGAACAAACATCATCAATGCTTTCTCTGATGATTCAGGATTATGCAGTGCCCTGTCATCATCCTGCTGAAGACGAATGTACATGGTGCTGGGCTGCTGACGTAGAAAGATGAGAGGTGTTGAAATGACGTACATCAAGTCTGATTTCTCCCAGGCATCATGCCCTAATGTGAGTCAGCGAAAAAACTGATGCTGACTTTTGTTTTCTTTTATACATTTGAGTATACAAACAGCAAAACATATAAATGATGATCCCCATGTAGGTAATTCAGCACCAACCTCTTTAAAAATATATAGGAAATTAATCTTTTGTAGCATCATAATGACCCATCCCAGAAGTAGGAACGAAAGGGTGCTCCTCCTTAGAGTCAACTAGGGTAGAAAGTTTGTGCCCATTTTAAATCCAAACATTCTTGCTGAGTGAGAGCAATGGAATACAGGGAGACCTATAGTTTCTAAATTATGTCTTTTCCCATCCAGTTAACCACGAATGGATTAAAATACAATTTCATGTATTATTTTACCTTCCTTTCCTAAATGATTTATTGGTACAATTTTAAACATGTTGGAAAACAGGCCGAACAGATTGAAATCGTAACTACAGACTGTAGATTATAGACTACAGACTGTAATCAGACTGAACGTTCTCTAGAAGTAGTTTCTTGAAATTTAAAAAGGAGACAGTTTTGATTTTTTTTTTCTGGCTGCTAGTCACTTTTTCTGGAAAGTAAAGTACAATATTTTTAGCTAATTAAAGGTTACTAGTTTAGCTAAACATTTTTAGTGAATTGAAACGCATTGGATTGAAGTGCTAAGCATATACGGAATGGTCAAGGCCAAAAGAAAAAAAGCTGAATGTTTAGTAACTGTTCCAAGTGTTCAATTTAGATTTCGGAAAGCTGAATTATTTAGATGGACTGCCCACCCCTACCCCGCCCAGACTCCGTGCATAACATCTCACTTTCCACTTCATTTTGTGTACAAGTTCATGGTACTTCATTTCTAAAACTACTTAACAGCAACTGGCCCCTTGGGCTTTGTGGGACTGCTGGAAAACAAATGTCCTAGATTTTAGTTACAGATTGGCACTGCTCCTTCAATGCTTTGAAACCTGATCTATGTTTCTTTACCTATGGATGTGAGTCTGCAGGTGTTGGAAAAGTTCATAAAGGTAAAAAAGCAGATACTTAAAACAAGCAACTTCCAGATAGTCACTTCCTTAAGCACAGGAGTGAACTTTAGAGAGCTGATGTGTTCTCCTTGCTTAGAAGTTTACAAAAAGAAGGGGATGGGGTGGGCTGGGAGGATCAGTTCATTCTTTCAACAGTGTATTAAATGTTTTTATTACTATGTACATCTCCAGCCCAGAGGAGTCAACTTTAAAAGTCATAAGACTTGCCCTGCAGTAGAGCACATATGGAAAACCCAGCTTAGTAACTCATTGGTCAGTCAGTGAATCAGAAAGAATGTCCTGCTGGCTTAGCCCTGTGTGAGGCCCTGGGGGAAGAGCAGAGCTAATGGAAGATCAGCAGGGGCCCTGCCCTCAGGGAGCTTTCAACACAGCTGGGGAGATGAAACTAACATCTGTGAAATGGCACCAACCAATATGGCCAGTGTCTACAGCAAAGTGCCCATTGTGTGGAAACAGCTAGGAGGGCTGCAAGAGGTGTGGAGGGGAGATCAGTAATGACTCCAAGGAAAAGACAGAACTTAATCTGGGCTGTGAAGGAAAAGGTGGATTCCAGGAGATCATGGGCAGAAGAAACCGTATCCTGAGCAAGGGAAAGGATGTAAGGGAAAGGCCCAATAATGGGGTGAATTGGGTGTGCACAGGGCGCCCTGAGAGCCCAGTGTTGTGGGCACATTCAGGGAAATGAGCTGGAGAGCTGGGGGGAGGCGGGCCCCATAGGCTTGACTGTGGGATGGGAACACACGCTGGATGGGCTTAATCTCCTCTAATGCATCAGATGCGCTCTGGACCCAAACAAAGGACTCCTTTGTTCCCTCTGTGTGTGCCCCCTGCATGTCACACAGACAAGGAGGTGCCTCTTGCACACATATGGGTGATACACAGCATATGGTTGTATGTGCAGATGTGCAAGCATATACACACAGTTATGTGCACACATGAATAGAAGTCCATGTGCCCAAGGGCCCACATGCACAAAGATATGCAAATACATATGCACAATACCTGCATATTTACATCTGTTTTCAGACCAAGGACCCAGAGCCAACTGGTCCGATGAAAGTTGACATCTGGGCGAACTCAACCAGTCACACGGGCTTTACTTTAGGCGTATAATCTGCCCAGAGCCTTTGCTCAAAAACAAAGCCCTTCATTCCTGACTTCTGGGAACTGGATTTGTCTTGCCACAGCTGTTCTTCTCCAGACCCCCCCAGTTGTCTTCCTAGCAGACCCTGTCTAGCCACCCAAACTGCCAAGGCTACTCAGCAGCCCCTGGAAAAAACTGAGGCTTCTTCATTAGCGGAGGGAGGGAATGATGCTATTGTTGTGAACGATGACGATGATGAGGATAACAACGCCAACCAGACGTTGAACATTTACCGTGGATAATGGGTCGGATGACTTGCAAGCAAGCACTAACCCACTACGTGCGGCAATCTTATGAGGTCTGTATAATCATCCCCATTTTTAAGGATGAGAAAAGTGAGGCTCGGAAAAGGCTAAGTAATACTAACAAATGGTGGCCTTGAGATTTGCACTCGAGTCTATTCTGACTCAAAGCCCATTGTCTTCGCCCCTACAAGAACATGGGGATTTGGCATCTAGGTTGAATCTGAAAACACAGTCAAGACTTTTATAGCAAGGAAAGAAAACATGGAGGAAGGATGCCAATAAGAGTCTGATGTTGTCCAGGATCGGCTGTGCTGCTCCAGATGTTTAGAGACTCCCATTTCCACTCCCTCATCTCCTTACTCTACAAGCTGTAACTTAGGCAGGACTTCCGATCGGTAGCATTCCAGAATCAAGTGCTTACTGAGCCTACTGACAGACACCTTTGCCTCTATCAGGGTCTGATGGGAATGATTATCTCCTCAGATACTGTATCGGTTTCGGTTACACACCCTGGAGGTATTGCCACCCTGCCTAATACCCCTACTCAAAGCCCTCTAACTTCCCCAATTGTCTTTTTACCACAGATAAGCTGACTATGGAGACGGGATATGTTACCCTATGTTATCCTACTCAAACACAAAGTTTCTAGCGTGCAAACGGTTAATAAATTGCTCCTGCCAAGACAATGACGATGTTCACATTTTCATAAGCACAGGCACTATTCTTCCAGTTTTCTAAATTTGCTAAGTGTGTGTGCTTGCTTTATTTGATATGCCGATTCAAATCAATTTAATTTTTTCCTCCAGAAAGCTATTAAAGAACCCAGAGAGCTTAGCTTAAACCACAGATTAATCCAACATAAAAAAAAAGAAAAGCTATTTGCATCCAAATTAAAGGAACCACAAAAATGTCTCTATTCTACTTCACCCTAATGTTGATCCTCCATTCGACAAACATTCTTCAATGAGTCAGGTAAGCCTCAGTTCCCAAATCTGTACAATGGGGACTCACAGATTATGGTGAAATATAAAGAAGAGAAGGCTTAGTGAGCACTCAGCCCAGGGCCTGGCACAGAGTAGGTATACGATACATGTTCCATTCCTTCCCACCTCGTCCATCACTCCCAGCTCAGAGCGCTCCTGTCACATGCAGTCATATGGACCATAACGGCAATTCGGAAGGACGGAGAAGATAAGAAAGCCGAGTGTGTGAGTGATCACAATGGGCTGGTGTCTGATCGACAATACAGAAACTGCTCGGGCAATCTGGCAATGAGTTTCCTTCAGAAGCTATCACAATATGTAGAAAACAGTCAAGAAAGAGAGAGGCACTGGGAAGTGACCCTCACTCCACACATTAAATAGGGCTTACAACACTTTTCACAGGACTTACAGGTGAGTCAGGTCACGAAGGCCACGGAAGGCGTTTCTTGAAATGGTTTCTATTTTGTTCCCTTCAATGAACCTAAGGAGAACAGCCATATAATTAAACTGAATTTTCTCTGCTTAATATCTCGAAAAAACGATACTGGGATGCTTTCAGAATGAAATCTAAAAGCATTTATAAATTTCAGAAATTCATCTCCAAAGGCTCGGTCAGCTATACCAGATTCCAAGTGGGAGCTGGGTGTGTGTGCAAGAGTGCCTCCACACAAGCGTGCTTTTTGCACTCCTTCCAGAAGCAGCCTGGAAGTCTTCAAAGTCAGGATTGGCAGCATGGGTAAAAACATCTTGGGGGGAAAAGGAGAAGAAAGCCCTACACAAAGGCAAGATATTCTCAAATTCCGCAAGACTGGAACACTTCCAGACATCTTCCCCCCTCCAACCTTCACATTTCACAGTGCCTGGCTATAATACTTCTGTTAACATCATTGCCCCTTGAGGGGAGCCCATTGTTTTACCTCTTCATATTAAAGTCCTTGCCCAGGGAGAATTCCATTAAGCTTGGCTTCTGGCAAGCTTGAGTTCATCATGTCCTACACAGTGTCATCTCTGAACAAGTGGGTGACAAGGCAAGGATATTCTCAAGATCTCTAGGCTACTTGGAAATAGAAAGTATAAGGAAGTTGAGCATGGGCCACACTTCTTTCTCTGTGCTAAGATGTCTTAGGGCTTGCACACAGGACCTTGCAGTAATAACTCCAGCCATGCTTTAAAATGGGAAATACATGAAGTGAATGCACTAGGACTATTCCCTAGGGCCACAGAGAACTAAATTTTCGTTTACGGCATCACATTTCTTCAAATGTAAGAAAGTCTCTGATGAGATGGTCCAAGGGAGACTTTGCAACATGATGTTTTTCGTTAGTGAAACAGTTCTTGATTCATAGACTGAGAATGATCCGGTGCCTGTTTTTTTTTTTTTTTTTTTTAAATCGGGGTCTATTCAGTAATAGACTTCAGTATAAGCTGAGAAGCGAACTTCCTCCTCACAGTAACCTTGACAGGAAGATGTACTGCTTGAAAGAGAGAATGGATGGTTCTTTGTTCACCGCCTCCATCGGCTGTTGATGTGCTCTGATAGAACCTAGTTGGCCTAGCACTTCAGCTGACCACTCTTCCCAGGTTACATAGACTATCAAGTATTATGAGAGTACCCGTATTATGTATCCTCTGAAGAAAGACTTTCTCCAGAGACATCTTTCCTGAGGACAGAAAATCAGCAGAGAGCTTTCTTAGACCCAGGATGTACTTAGAATTCCAACATCTACCTGTTAACCTCAGATAAGAAAGCAGAGACGCGGATTTAAAAAATGCCCCTGAATGCTAGGTAAGGAAATCCCATCTGATAGCAGGATTAATATTATTACAAAGTGACAGAAGACAAGGGTGGAAGAACTTAAGGGGAAAAGAGATGACCTGAAAGTGTGAAGAGGCAGAAATCAGAGCCAGGCATTGCTGCGGGGGAAAAATGCACAACTGAAAAGGGAAAAATAACCTTTATTTTAAAGGAGAAAAAACAAAATTAGACCCTCAGCTGCAGCTCACAGGAGACACTGCAAACGGGATATAGGACAGGTAAACTAAAAACGTGAAGCTGTATCCCCAAACAGGGAGACTTTCTTAAAAGTATGTAACCCTCAGAATCGTTCAGCTTCATTTCTGGCTGATCAGCAAATCCATGTCTAGCTTTGAGAGGTAAAAATATCCAATATAATTTCCAATTGTGCTTATGACATGACAAATTAAATGTCAGCAGAGAATGAGTGAATATCTTTCCTTCTTTGTTTTCTTTCCCCCTCTTTGTCTCCAACCTCCTCCTGTCTCAGCATGTTTATACACAAGTAAACTATAAAAGGTCAGCGCTGAAAACAGAATGGGGTTTTCTGAATTTTCTCCACCCTTAAGCTCTCTAAGAGATGCTGTCCCAGCTTGGAAAGCAATACAGCCATTCCACTGACATACCAAACGCTCAGCAAATAGACAAAGCACAAAACTTACAGGTATTCAAGATGAAAAAGTCCAGCAAAAGCATCATCCCGGATGACTGTGAATGAGTTAGAATTCAGCAATCTGAAAATAAGAGACATTAGGTTTCAATGCAGAAGTGTAAAATTTGAGTCACAGAGTGAAGCCATTTCTGTTTCTTTTGTTATGTTCTGATCTGTGGGCAAACACGGGCTCTTCTCAGTGTAAAACTGGCCCATTCGGTGTGCAACCTGACTCAGACACTGATGGACAATGGCAAGTGGATTCTCTTTGGCCAGATTTTCTGGTCACCCCCATTATTTCACCTTTCTTCCCTACAGGTCTCAGTAAATATGACCTGAGAGCTCCTATTTCCATAACATTTAGAGGTTAAAAATGGAGGTTCTCTTTTAAAGTGAGGTGTTTGGGAAATGGTACGTTTAGGTGAAATTCAGGTCATAATTCAATGTAATCATGTCCCCAGTTGCTGGATATGGGCGATGGCATCTACAGTAAAGTCCTTGACAGGAATAAAGATGCAGATGTAGAGAATGGACTTGAGGACACGGGGAAGTGAGTGAGAAGAGGGAAGGACACGGGGAAGAAGTGAGAGAGTGGCATTGACATATATACACTACCAAATGTAAAATAGATGGCTAGTGGGAAACAGCAAATAGCACAGGGAGATCAGCTTGGTGCTTTGTGTCCACCTAGAGGGGTGAGATAGGGAGGGTAGGAGGGAGACGCAAGAGGGAGGGGATATGGGGATATATGTATACATATAGCTGATTCATTTTGTTATAAAGCAGAAACTAACACAACAATGTAAAGCAATTATACGCCAATAAAGATGTTAAAATAAATAAATAAATAAAGTCCTTGAGGAAAACATGTGCTGAAAGAAGGAAAGGACACTGCGCACTGGGGACTCAGCTCAGTGGGGACACAACAGGGCAAGTAAACACTAAGAGCCAGCCACAGTTTACTTGTGGAGCTTGGGTATCTTGGGAAGGACTGATACCCAAGAGACAGAGACGGCTCTTCCCAGGACCGCACCTCCAGGACTGCCATTTCCAGAGAGGACTTCCCATACTCACAGCAGCTGCAGGGAAGGCAGATGAGAAAACATTCGGTCCTTGATTTCCGAGAACGTTCCATTTACCAGGCTCCTACGGGCAAGAGAGGAACAAAACAAGGACTAGGTTGCTTTGAGGAAGTGCCGGGCAAGATGGACGAGAAGCCTTATCCTCTACCTGTGCTTTAAACTCCTCCACTCAGGGATGAGGCTTCAAATGGTTGGCCAGGTTCTTCTCAGGAGTAAGAACAAGATGAGTCCAGCCATTTTCCAATGAACTGGATCAATAGGAAAACTGGACTGAATAACAGAAACCGTTACTATCAGTCTAGCTCCTTGCATAGACATCATCTCAGCCGGTTTATATCAATAACCCCTCACTTCCTTTTCTTAACTACAGGAGGCCCTAGCTGAAGATGGATAATTCCTTCACCTCTGCCCATGATTGTTTGTGTAGACACAGCATTAGTGTTGGCCGACGAAACTCAAGGGTAGGATTAAGTGTTCCCCTTGGGAGCACATCTCTGAAAGTCGCTCAGAGCACTTCTGATTAAATGCACCGTGAAAGCCTTGGGAAACAACCCAGAGACACCTGAACTTGAATGTGTGGTGGGAGGCCACGCCATCTGCCAGAGTTAACGGCCAATCAGAACAAGGAACCTGACTATCTTAGCCACCAGGGCCCCTATCCTTTCTGGCCGCAGTAGGACCTCAATACATCATTTCAGAATTATTTCAGTTAATATGCAGATCCGTTAAGCAGCTGCTGGTCTAAGGGATTTAACCAGGGGAATTCTCATTTCTGGAATGCTCCATGTCACCCGACTTAGCAATATTAGGCATCAAACAGGCCCTCTGTTTCTGCTCAGCCAGACTGTCCTGACTGCCTATAAATGCAAACAGGAAGCCCTTCACTCCTGGGTCCAGGCCCCAGCGCCTTGCCTGGGGTGGAGACATGGAAGTGGAGCACAAGAGCAAGTGAGAGCAACCCCCTGCTGCCCCATGGGAATCCCTGCCTCTACGATGGAGTGGGCATCACCCAGCACCTTGGCCTGGATGTGGGAGTCATTTCAGCAGGAAACATTTCCCGGCAGTGAAGATATTGCCCAGTAGCCCCTTCCCCAGCCATTATGAGAGCTGGCCATGTGGTTTGAGTGGCTGTGTGAGGCCAGGCTGAAAGCCCCTGAGCAGGTGGACCAATAATGGGAAGCCCTTTCCTGTCCGTTCCTCCAGCACTGAATAAGCAGCCAGCACAACACGCGGTGAGGAGGGGGGCAAGAAGCCCTTATAAGCTCAGGGCAAGGAGTCCGGCTGACTCCCAGCACTTGCCCTCTGGGCTGGATGCCCACATTCCCCAATGCTCCGCCAGGTCCTCTGTGCTTCCCTCTTCCGGGCCACATGCGGCGGCATCTCCACTTCTAGAGGTGACATGCCTTCTCCCAGGTACTGCCCCACCTGCAGTGTGGACAGGTCCAGAGGAGGGCACCGTGTAAACCACAGCCCCAGACCTCAGGAGGGACGGTGAGGCCTCATTCCTCTGCAAGCGCTCCAGTCATGCTCGGCTGCATACACAAGCCCCCCACACAACCTTCCCACCCCCAACACACATCCTCTCAAACTTTAATGCACCTCAGAATCACCTGGGGAGGCCAAACGCAGACTCCAAGGCTCCTCTCTCGGACCCTGCATCATTCGGTGCGGGCCCCGGAATCTGCATTGGCACAAGCCCCCCCAGGTGGATCTGATGCAGGTGGCCCGCGGGCCAGACTTTGAGAAACACTGCCCCAGGGACTTGTCTGGCTTCCCAGACTCTGGATCTCGGGTTCCCCTCATACTCCCCGGGGCCCGAGACTCCAACCCACGTCCCACCGCGCGCCCCAACCCAAACGCAAAGGAAGGGGCCGGGAAGTGGGGTCAGGGTCGCGCTGTCCCGGCGCCAGAGGCAACTCCCGGGCGACGGCGGGCGCCGGGTGGGGCAGGACGGGGCAGGGGCTGACGGGGTCCCACTCACTCACAGGGAGCTGATGTCGCCCGGCACGATCCTGGGCACCCAGGAGGAGCCCACGCAGATGATGGACTCCTTGGTACAGCTGCAAGTGGCGGGGCAGCGCGCCAGCCGCCTCACCTGCGCGCTCGGCGGGATCAGGCACGCGGCTCCCAGCAGCAAGAGCAGCCGTCCCGGCGCCCCGCCGCCGCCCCGCCGCAGCGCCATGCCGCGTCCCCGGTCCCCGCCCCGGCCGCGAACCCCGCTGCCGCGCCGCGCGCTCGGACTCCGCGCCGCTGCAGACGCGGGCGCCGCTCGCTGCTTCGCCGCCGCCGCCGCCGCCGCTGCTGGCTAGGACTAGGGCGCCGCGGGTGTGGGAGGCCGAGCCGCAGCCGAGCAGCATGCTGGCCGTCACCCCCACTCGGCGCCCCCCCACCAGCGCCCGGGCCTCGCCCGCGCCCGCCTGACATCAGCACCCGAGCCCGCAGCCAGCTCTGGCCAATGAATAATGCGGGGCGGGCGCCCGCCCGCGGGGGAGGGGGCCTCGCGCCGCCCCCCGCCGCGCCCCGCCGGCCCCTCCCGGCCCCTTCCCAGGAGCTGCGGAGAGAGGAGAAAGTTGGGTGACCTTAGGGGAGGAGCCGGCCTGGACGGAGACCCTCTGTGGACCTGGCCGAGCGGTTGGGGATCAGAAGCCCGCAGTCCCTCCACCGGCTCGAAATAATTTGGGGGAGACACTGGGCTCCTTTTAGCCGGGCCAAAACGTGAGAGGCTGGCGGCGGAAAGAGTAGAGCCTGGGGAACTGGCTTGATGACTGGGAAGGGAGACTTTGTCCCGGGTCTTTGAAGAGTACGGAATTTTGAGCAGCCTTTATTAATGTTTAAAAGACGTGAATGCTGCCATTGAGTTCAGCGGGCATGGCTTTGCTTGTCTTTTGGGGTGCGCGATGGGGCTGGCTCCCTGCCCACAGCGCCCTGGGCTCACTGAAGCCGGCCCCCTTTCCCTCTTGAAGGCATGTAGGCAAGCAAAGCTGCTACGGCAGTGCGCGCCCGGCTGCTCTGGGGCCTGCCGCCTGCTTGCCGCAGAGCTCAAACGGCCGTACCAGTTCTCCCTCCCTCGGCGGCTCACTAGGCTCCGCACTCACCCCAGTTAAAGGACAGGGGGCAATTGTTAATAGAGATCAATGGTGTGATACGTTCTAGGCTCTGTACATTTAATCTTCTAACCCTTTGAGGCAGGTCCTAATCTACGAATTAGGAAACTGAGGCACCGAAAGCATCAGTAACTGGCCGGTGATCAAGGAGGAAATGGCTGGGGAGAGATGGGGATGAGAGCCTGGGCTGGGGATGGGTAACCAGGCCCAACTGGGCCCCTCTTCTCTCCGCACCTTTGGTGCAGGGAGCTTGAATCTTACCACAAGGTAGTGTGAACTGGAGAAATCAAAGAAAATGGCCAAAGCAGAATCAAAATTGCTAAAAACCAGGGCTGCTCAGAGTGGGGAATCAAGGGCCCATCATCAGGCTACTAACCAAGGAAAACCATTTCATATGTTAAGCTATACCCCGAAAAGGCAGTGACCGATGCAAAAGGTTATTATTACTGTAGGAATCACCAATACTAGACTCCTTCAGCAGTCATTTGGAGCACGTATGGCTGGCCACTGGTTGGAGGGGGCAGGGGAACAAAGGGACAGGTCCTATTCTCAGGGAGCTTGAAGTCTAGCTGGGCAGACAGCCCTGAAGAAGTAACCCCACGTGGCTACATGGGGGGTCACACATTGACCAAAAGGGGTTCAGGAATCGAAAATCAAGTTTGTTGCAGGTAACTTCATGGAGGGAGTTGACATTCGTTGCAGGTCACCATTTAGCCAGCACCTAGCATCCGTGGGAACCAGTGTACATTTATCATCACACAATTCACATCTGCCCTGAGAAATGGGTCTTCCCATCTTATAGATGGGAAAACTCAGCTCAGAGATGTTTTTTCTCTTGCCCAGGGTCGCACAGGACACAGCCAGGAGAATCCTACGCCAGAGCTGGCTGCTGTGCGTAGCCTTCACTGCTGTGTGGACATGCATTGCCCACATGCCTTACTCAGCAAGGCCCAGTGCTGGCACTGAGGACGCAAACCACGGTCTGGAGAGGGTGATAGGCACATGAACCCACAATCATGGGTGTGTGTCCTGCACATCCTGAAAGATGTTTGCCGTAAGTGAGATGGGCTACTGCTTTATGGAGAGGAGGGTGCGGGGATTCTCAAACACAGTGCCTTCCTGCTGACCCAGGCAAAGGTTCTCAGCTGTGTTGAAGAGGAGCAAGGAGAAAAGGGTGGGTAAGGTAAACTCTCTGTCCCCAGAGCTGTGGGTTTGCAGCCCAGACTGCCACTTACTAACTGTATAATTGTGGGCAAGTTATGACCTCTCAATGCCTCAGTCTCCTCACCTGTAAAATGGGATAGTTGTATGCACCTTTGGGAGCTAAATGTGATCAAGACTATAAAGGATCCAATGCCACACAAGAGGTACTAGGTATTTGTTCAGAGATCTGTGTGATATTGTGGGCAGGGCAAATCTCAGATAAACCCTGGGACTGGAGGGAACGGGTGGGGTGTGGGGTGTGAGAGGCAGTGAAAGGGGATGAATTTTCCTAACCTTTGTGCCTCCATTTTAATCAAGGACAAGGGCACAGTCTAGCACGGTGGTTCTCAAGCAGGGGTGACACTTGACAATGTCTGGGGAAAGTTTTGGTTGTCACAGTGGGGTGGGTGATACTGACATCTAATAAGTAGAGGCCAGAGATGCTGTTAAACATCCTGCAATGCACAACAAAGCATGATCCAGCCCAAAATACCACCAGTGCCAAAGTGGAGAGATCCTAATCTAGTATCCTAGAAAGACCCTTGGCATGAAGAATTCCAGAGGTGCAGATTCTAGGCCTGGCTCCATCACTCATAAGCAAACCTTCTTGGTCATGTCACTCCTATCTCCAGCCTATATTTTATCATCTATAAAATGGGTATAATGAGACCTTGCTCTTTCTTCCCTAAATAAATGTGACATATCATTATTACTTCTATCCTTACCCTCCCCAAGCTAGGTCTAGCTCCAACCCATTCCCTCCAACCTGAAAAACTAGAAAGTTCCTGATAGGAAGGGTGCAGAGAGAAGACTTGGGTGGTATAGTTGGCACAGTTGGTATTTGTTTCGGCTCTGTTAGAGACACTAAGTGAATGCTTGTAAATTATAAGGTGCAGTTTATAAATTAAGATATAAAAATGGAAATGCAGATTACTTTGGTTTGATTCCAAGATCTTCAGTGGTTAAAAAAAAAAAAACTTAATAGACAATCAGAGAGACACAATCTGTTTCCAGGAAATAGCAAGTTTTTCAAAATGTAAAAATCCTTGTTCATATGTACGGTTACTCAAGCTGCATCTCCATGGCAGGAGCACACATTCCTATGGGAGATGAAATGGCACAGGCTGGAGGAGCATGTGTAGGCAGCTCAAAGCGTTGTTCATTCATTCACTCTCATTCAACCACCTGTCATTAAGTCTGTATTGATTCAGAGCCTACTAGGTGCTGGGTTGGATTTAGGCATGAAGTTGAAGGAAAAGTCAAAAATGCCTCCTCCCAGGTTTTGACTGGAGCCAGTGGGTAGATGGAGACACCATCCCTTTAGATGAGAAAGCCTAGGAGAGGAGAAGGTTTGGCTGGGAGACAGGTATCAACGGTTTGGTATCGGAAGTGTTGACTCCGAAATGCCCATGAGCCATCCACATGCCGATGCTGAGTTGGCAGCTAGAGGACCAGTGGAAATGGTAAGGAAGAGATGGGGGGTGGTGGGTAGAACATCTTCAAGATGAAACCTTGATTCTCCCTCAGTGAGCCCTCAATGTAATGTTGGTTGATTGAATGAATGAATGAGGGGATGAATGAATGACATTTTGTACATAAGAACATTAAAGACATTCAAGAGAAAATATCTCTCAGGTGCAGTCAGCAAGGAATCACAGAAATCTTGCAGAAAACTGCAAATCTAAGAATACTGCAGTTTGGGGATCTATTTTTAAACCAAGCATAATCTTCAAATTCTAAACCAAACTGTAAATCTTGTAAGAATCTCAGAGACTTCTTCATGCTTCTTAGCCCCCTCCCCCATTTTCCAAATAACCCCCTCTCCCACCTTGCTGGTGTTCTCACCAGAGCGCTAAGCTTTGGAAAGCGTTCACTAACATCTAACTGGCTCTGATGCTTGCTGTAACAACCGAAGAAAACGTATTCATCCAAACCTCAAAGGCACTTGGTTTGAATGGCTACAAATTGGATTCTCTGGGGAAAAAACCCCAAATAACACAAAACAGAGTCTTGTCTCTCTCTTGTTTTTTAATCAAAGAGTTTGCCAATCCCTCTTTGACCACATCACCCTAATAAGCCACTCTTGTGGTTGGCTGCTGGTCAAATGTAGATGCCGTTTCTGGCTTCCCATCATTTCCTTGCTTCATAAACTCAGTGGGTGTCACAAGTCCGGAATTCGTTCTGAATCTGCTCCAGGCTGGCCTCTTGAATTCAGTCATGTTCTTGAAGAGCCGCCTGTGGATATTTCATGCAGTTTCCCGAATCAGCTGAAAGGCCCTCAAGACGCTGGCCCTACCACCAGTGGGACGGACACCTGTGGGAAACTTATAGCCCAGCGTGAGCCACCCCTTCTCATGACAACAGGACACAATTTTGCTTTGGAGGGAATCATTCCTTCCCAACATTCAATCCATGTGGCTCACTTGATGAATACTTCCATTTCCCATGGCACATGGCTCTAGACTAGAGCATTCCAGAACATTCCACTCGCCCAGCCACAGTGACTGGTTCTGTGGTGACTACCTCATCCAACTGGAGCAATCAGGGCTAACAAAACTGCTTGACAAAAAAAAAAAAAAAAAAAAAAAAAAAACTGCTTGACAGGACCTATGCTTGACATATTGGAAAGCAGTCTCACTCTTCCACTGGCCGAGGAGTTGTGGTGGTGTGAGCCTGGAAACCCACACAGGTTCCTGAGAAGGTGTCCCCCCCCACACCCAGGAGAGGAATCCTGACGGTATCATTTGGGTCTCAGATCAAGTCACCCATTAAATTCTGCAGTTTTCTGAGATAATAACTTCCCTTTTTTGTTTAACTAGCCGGAGTATGGGTTTTGGTTTATTGCAACAAGATGAATCCTGCCTCGTCCATCCAGACATCACTAGTTCATTCAGACATCATTAGTGCATGCAGACATCAGAGACAATACATAGCGCCTTCAAGATGAAACTGAGAAGCAGGTGA